TTCAATTGATTTTTTAATGATTAGGTAATTATATCTTTAGATTGCAGTGTAAGCATAAAAAAGTTTTTGATAGTGAGGTTAGCATTAAATGAATTACTGTTTCACAAGACTGGTGCAGTATCCTTCTGACATGTTGTGTATGTTTGCAGATGCTTTGGTGCTCGCCAAACGTTACAAAGAAGCCTCTGAAATTTCGGAAACTTTCCTAAAGGTATGAGGTCATTTTGTGTGAATAAGTACCTGGAAGCCAACAGTTAGTGTAGTGCAAGAGTTAGATGCTTGGTCAAAGGGCAGTATAGCGTGTGTAAAATGGTTGTTTTTTAAAACAGAAATAAGTTGTGCCTCCAAGTAGGTCGACAATTAATGGTGGAGCTTACTCAGACTCGCTCAAGAAATATATTTTGTGTTTAGGGCGCTCTCGAACTCAGCCTCACCAATATTTACCTCCACCTTACTCACTTGGAAAACTCGCCAAAATATCACTCACCATGACTCACAGGAACTCATACTCATAAGCTCATGGCTCGATCCGAGTCTTAGTGAGTCGATTCATGAATGAGTTTGCCCAAATATGCTGTAGTCTTCAAGTTGTTGTTCATTTCCATTTTACACTCAAGCCTCGGTATAAAGAAATATTGGTTATAATTAAGTAAATGAAAAAGTCTTGCAATAAATATAGTGCTAGGAAAAATTCTTTATAACAAATTTTCTAATATAACAAGCCTGTTTTCGTGTATGATGCAGCTTTATTATAATGAGGTTTGAGTGTACAACTGCTATGTTTCAGGATGAAGAAAGAACGGTTCGTATCCTGCTTGATGCACACATGTGGAACGTTGCACTGGCAAAGGTACGTTTTCATGCTGAGAGACATGCACTTAGTATAACGTTGTACATTTCGAGATAGTAGTGAAGATACTTAGAAGATAGGACCGACTATCTCTTTTGTAGCAGCCCATTGAAAAAATTAATCAATACCACAAGAACTTCCAAATGCTTTTCTTCTCTGCAATGTCATTTTTGGGCCTGGCCATGCTTACTTTCAAACCATTGTCACAGTTTCGATGCAAGCTGCTTCTACGGTGTTGGAGTGATGATGAGATTTCGACGATAATACCAAGAGAAGATCTATAGCACACTACCTGAAGTATGCAAACTCGAGTTTAAAGGCAAACATTCCACATATACTAAGTATGTGCCAGGCCACCAGTTGTGCTGTGGTTGCCTGTTCATGCGCATAAAAATAGCATGTGGGCAAGTCAGATAGTTAAATTATGAAAGAGAAGAACTGAAAGAAAAAGAAAATAAATTGATGCTGCTTGCCATGGATCCTTATTACACAATTTAATCTTTCATTCAGGTATGTGCAAATGTTGGGGCGCGTAATTTAGTTTGTCTTGTTACTGCATCGCGTACAACGAAAAAAAGTTTGCTGTGTTGTTTCCTGTTCTTTTTAGATTCATCAGTTCAACAAGATAGAGCTAACCGAGAAAATGTGGAAGCCAGCTGTCACTTGCGAGCTGGAAGTCATGTTGGAAACTGTGGATTCACTCAAAAACACATGGTCCAAGCACGTGGCACGACTAATGGTTGTTCGTGAGCACAAGGCCAACGAGGACCAAGGTAAAATCGAGGGTTCGACAAAATCCCGTCTGGTCGGGAGAAGGCATTGCAAAAAGAAAAGAAATGCCGACCACTATAAAAAACACTTTAAAACTAAACGAGACATATCATTCAGTTTTAAAGTTTTTGTGGTTGGTGTTCTTTTGTTTTTTGCAAAGGCCAAGGTAATTTACCGAAATGCTTTTAGTGTTGTTCCACAGTGATGCACAAGTACGAATTGTTCATCCAGAGTTTTATGAACAGCTGCTTAACTCCAGTCTTGACCACACTGGTATGGTGTGAAGAACGTCTATAAGTAAGGCAATGAATCGCCGGTGGAAGACACCTCATGGCACAGCACACTACGTGTATATATAGCGGTACCCAGATTTAGGAGCTGTAGAATACATGTATACAGGCATGTTAATCCTGCGCAATGTCGTGCATACCTGTGCTTGCTTTGTTCACTCACAAAAAAAGATGTAGCACGTGTTCTGCACTGTTCGTGGAATTCGTTTGCATTTTCTCATTGCGTTGAATTGTTGAGTTACAATACACGATTACTGATTTGTATTTGTATATTCTGGCGTGTTTAAGGGGAAGGAGATTTTGATGATGGTGCATTTTCTGACGTGGCAAGCGTGACATCCAGGACAGTCGGTGGAAGTGTGACTGGTGGAAGCTCTATTTCGGGGTGAGTAATTACTTTGCTCGTGCAGTGATTGCACTTTGAAATCGCTGCTTCAAGATGTTCTTGAATGGTGAGCTACTCTATTCTTTCAGATCAATTGCCACCATGAGGACTTCGAGGAATCGTAAGAAACAAGAACGCAAAAAGTATGTGTTGAAGGAAGGCTCTCGTTACGAGGACTTGGCACTAATCATCGCACTCAACGAGGTTGCCTCATCGACCGACAAGCTAAAAGGTTATCTCATTTGCTATGAACACTTCGGAAAATCTTTTAAGACTTCGATTGTGCGGGCACAAAACAGCACTAGCTTTTCAGTTGCAGCTTCTGCAAATACATGGCAATCTTTACATAAATGACCAATTTAAGAAATGCAGTTTATAGTATAGCAGCACAGTAATTGTAATCTGTGTACACTAGTACAAGATATTGCACCTTAAAACAGGATTATGCATTTGCATAACCTGTTATTGTTCATACATCACAGCGTCCAGCCTGTTGTGAAGTTTTGCCATACCTTTCAGAGGAGTGTAGGGACCTTCTGCAAGCTCTGGTACTGTGCGGCTTGGACCAGGAAGCCAAGAGCCTTCAGCATCAGTTTGCAGAATTGCTAGACATTATAGAAAAGGCTATTCCCAACGTTTGGCCTCCGGTAACAGCCGAGAGTTCACTGGTAAGTCTTGTTGTTTGTGTGCGTCATTGTTTCCAATGCAGCAAAAGTTAGTTTTGCCATGCACCACATTATGTTAAAGCAAAAAGAGGGAGCTGTGAAAGCGCCCAAAAACTATCCTTGCATGTCCTGTTAAGACTGTGTACACACACACAAGTGGGATCAAAATAAGTGTCCTTGGTGTTCTCTTACTGTAATTGGACCCTTCCACACCTTTCTGTCCACCACGGTGGTTTAGTGGTTATTGTGCTCGGCTGCTTACCTAAAACTGAAATGGTCACATTTTGATGGAGGCGAAATGGTAGAGACTTTTATGCTGTGTGATGTCAGTACACATTGAAGTACACCAGCTGCTCAAAATTTATATAGCCCTCTATTGCGCCGTGCATCATGATGATATGGTGCTGGTACGTGAAACACCAGATATTATTCTTCACGCCTCTTATGTGCACTTTACCATGCCTTCTTTAATGTTCACATGTTCATGCTTCTACTATCTTACAAACACTGTATCTTGTTTCTTTTCTGAGAAAGTATTTATCAATTGCCAATCACTTGATTCTCTAAATATTGAAGTGTGAAATTAAAGAAAATAATCATGAACTCATGTTTTACTCATAATGTTGCTGAAAACGGTTGACTCCTAATAACTTGACCGTGAAGCCTTTGATTTGAACTATCCTGCAAAGTCCCGGTGAGAGATCACACTATGCCAGTGAAGGAAAACTTGTTCAGTTGAACATAATGCCAAAGGAGACAGCATTAGTTTGTTCAATGTTCGCTGGTGCTCTCTCGTGCACACGGCAGTTTAGAGCTTGGAAACACAAAAAGTTATGCAAAGGCAGCCACTGCCTGATTTCTGAAGCAGTTTTATTTTAATCGTTTCAGTGGCTGATGGTCTATCTATCTGGTCAAGCCATACGCTTTCACTTCATGTTGTTTCATGTAGTTAACTTGAAAAGTTGAAATATTCCAAGTTATATATATATATATATATATATATATATATATTTCGGAATTTTTCACTGCATGTTGGTTGAGTCGCATGTAAGATTTATGTGTGAGGATACATTGCACACTACTTCAAACAGAAAAAGAATTACTTGAATTTGAACTTACTTCTGATTTTGTAGCTGCTTGTTAATTAAACCTTTCATATTATTTGACAAAATCTTATGGTACAGCTAGGATGTAATGAAAGGCGGCCAGTTGTATGACCTGAGGAACTTTTCCTCATTGTTAATTCTAGAAAGAAAAAAAAGCAATTCGTTTATTCAAACACAAAAGTTTGGGCGTGCTCATGAGCTTGAGCTAAGTTTTAGATCTCTCCAGTACAACAAAGATAACAGTGCCGCGCTGCATCAGTAGAACTGTAAAAAGCAACTAAAACAGCGTACCTCTGTATTCAAACAGCCTCTTGGGCCACACTCGTCTTCGACAATGATTGCCGAGGCAGTACAAAAACAAAAGATTGTGGAGCACATAATATCAGGTATGTTTCAGAAGGTCTTCTTGGTATTGAACCTTTGACAAACATGCATTACGACTTATTTCAGATCCAGAACTCCGACAGCCACCTACACTTCAAAGAAACTTTTGCTGGAAACTTCAGATGCTAACCTGATCAACTGTGCAGTGTGGTGCAGAAAGTGCAATGTACAGCAGTTGACTGTAAATATGTGCTACAGGTTCTATATGCTGTGTCATCCTTGCAATACTCTGTTTACGACACTATAAGCTGTAGTGTCGCTCATAAGTTTAGCAAGACCGTCCCACATACTCTGCTGAAGTCCTCATTGGCAAGCAGTGTCACGCATGTTCAATGTACTCATTATATATGTTGCTGTATATACGTTTTCACCCTTCATACTCTCAGCATCTGAATCTAATGTCTATAGAACATACCTATTTCTTAATTTGGCCAATATTAGAGCTGAGGAATGCTTTTAATTTTAATTCTCGTAAGAAGGGTCAAGCAGCACTACGACTTTCATGATGATGTAATACATATATCTTTCAATGTCATGCCAGGCAAGAACTTCCTTTTTAAATATCAAAACTTTACTGAAAAAAAAAAAAATAATAATTGAAACAAGAAAGTAACGGCTATACACTGACGCAAGAGAACATACTACTTTAGATTAATGTGTGGCGAGGGCGGAGCATCTTTATGCCACTTGTAGATCTTGACCCACATCGGCACTTCGTTCTTGATAGCCTCTCTCAGATTGAAGCGGCAGTCATAGGTCATCATCCACGATTTCAGCTGCTCTTGCCTCTCTTCTTCGGGTCGAGTGTCCACGCCTAGGTATGGACGAAGCTCGATCCCTTCAGGTGCTTCAGGTTGGCGAAGCACGAACCGGAGCAGGAGCTTAAACACACTGTCGTCAATGCCTTTCAGTTCTCCATTCTCGTACGCTTCGAAGAGACGTAGATTGCCGGACGACCAGCACAGGTTACGAAGCGGGTTGCTTTCATAATAGTCGTAATGTAAACGAAGTGTGTTCAGTTGGTAGACTGCAAACGTCCAGTGTTGTCCATCTGTATTGACAACATGGCTGACCAGAGGATAGGTTGGGTCGTGATAAATTGTGAACCCTGAAAAAAGAGCAAAAAAAAAAGTTTCTAGAGCTTTCTTTGATACAGTAGACTGTCATTAAATAAAACCTAAATGGGCTGGGAAAAAACTGCCATTTACCGAGAGATGATCAAGGGGCAAAATTCAAGTAAAGTAAATTGCACTGAAGGTAGTCCTAATTAGTTAGCAGATTTGTTTAATAAATTTACATTTACTTAAAGTCTACTGAATTTGATGGGTTGTTGTTAAACTATCTCTATCTAAACATCACAATCGTATGAAGAAGAATTGCCAATGGTGCAAAAACATTAAACCAACTTTCATGCTATTAACAATCTGCTCCATAACATGTGATGCCTAGTTACAGAAGTTAAAGAATTCAAGAATGCTGGCAGAGTTACACATTACGTAATTGGAAAAGTGCATGGGGGCAATAGTACTCCCTGTTTGAAGACCGTGCATGTGGTCACAAAGAAGAAGATTAAAAAAGCCCTTTCATGCTATTTTGCAAACCACAGTAATAGTGACATAGATATTGCATTACATGATTGCTTATTCAGGATTTCTGCTGGGATATGTAAGTTCATGATTAAATCAATTATTAAAGGACTTTGAATTCCATTTCACCAAACAGCTACAACAAGCGTAGGCTAGAAGCATCACAACGTGTGGTGCTGCAAGGAGCTGCAAAAACTTCTAGGCAATCTCTCAGAATTTCACATAAACCTTTTCTTACAAACACCACCTCTCCTTGCAGAGGGCTGGCAAGCAGCAATGGAATGACACCTTTTAAGATATCACACAAATACTGAGGCCCACATTTAAATGAACACAACACACATGACCAGTCATTACAATCGGAGAAAAATCTGGAGCTTTTGCTGCTGTTCAAAACAACGAAAATACACAACAATCATACCCAGCTGTGTTGCCACTCCATTGAGCCAGCCAAAGCCTGACAGTATGGCTGCAGCATTTGCGGCATCTTGCACCTCTTCAGCTGTTTTGAATGGAGAATCGTGGTGACCAATCAACTGACTGCGCTGCCGTATGGTCAGCAAAGGAAAGTTGCACTCGTGGAGGGGCCAAGTACCTGAAAAATTACGAAAACGTGTTATGCTCAAGGAGAATTTGAGCAGTTTCACTTTTCCATGTGGAAAATGTGGGGCCAAGAAAACATTAAAGAATGATGACGAGGAATGTCCCAATGCAACAAGTTATCTGTACCCTAGTGTTCTCACTTCAAAGAAACCAACGCCTTGTCACTCTCCCAATTTTTATGCAGACTACTACATTACTTGGTACCTATGTAAAGAGCATGTGACAACTCAGTTTAGATGCATTGTAAGATGTAAATGTTTTACATTAGCATAAACACTCGCGATGCACAGGGAGTGAACACTTTAAGGATTTTCTGTACGTTCGCTTTTCATATGTAAAATAGAGAAGGTGCATAAGTGCAGGCATGTTAGCATACACTTTCCCTCCCCCTCATGGAAAGAAAGAGACTTGCCAGGCAAACTTGTCTGATACTTCTTTTTCCACTTGAACTTCATGTAAGAAGGGTGGTAAGGAAAGTCTGGAACCTCTTGGCTACGTACGAGTGGGTCATCCATGCTCACTATCTACAAAGAGGACACAATGTTGTGTTTGGCCACATGTTTGTAAAATTACGCTTGTCCCTTCATTACTGGAGCATGAGCAGCTAATGGCTTCACTAAAAGAAAGGAGGCATGCACACGGGGGAGGGGCAGGTGCCCCCTTGGTCATCTAGAGGGGGGGAGGGGGTGCTGTGCAAAATCTGTGCCATACATTGACTTATTGGGGGGGGGGGGGGGCACTGTGACAAACCTTTGCCCCCCCCCCCCCCCCGGTTGGGGAACCATGCGCATGCTTACAAAGGCTGAACGATTTAGTTATGATTGATTAGAGCATATTCATTTATAAAAGAGTAATAAGACTCGTGGGATGAGGGGATCACTAAAACCAACCGTCCCAGTGCCCGTTTATTTCATATTATAATAGTCTACATGCATGTATTCAGCCAGTAAGAATGACAAGTGTTGTATCTGTGAAATGAAAAACATTCTGGAGTTTCACTTGCTTGTGCCATGTTACTATCGTGAGGCAAACCTCATTAAGGACACTCTGAATCAACATTTCTGTTTATTTTTTCTTAGACTCCAAAACGAAAGGCTTCTACTAGAATCGTATGTGGGAACACATTCATAGCCTTGCATGCTCTAACTACACATGCAGCTCACCTAAAATAGCTGAGTTCTAGGATCAAAAAAGCCTACAGATAAAAAACAAACTACACCACTATCCTCTTTAATATCGACCATGCCAGGTGTCTACATATTGGCCTTACAACAGGAAGAGGTTTGGTAATCCGGACTTGAGCATCAGGTGTATCCATGAACTGCAAATTCATGGTCATGGTGTCCCTGTCTCTGAATCGTCTCCTTTCATTTGGGTAGTATCGGCCATGCTTCCAGAAGGCATCGCAACGTGGCCTATAATCCACCTGGAAGAGAAACAAGCATTGCATTTGGCAAATTATGGCATCCCAAGAGGCACAGTGTAGTGACAGGCTTATTTGTACACAACAGCCCTGACACGAACGCATTTTTCTAATCAATCAAAGATTTATTTTGCAAGGCACTAATAATAACAAGGAGGATATGCTAAAGAAGGTCCCAAGGTCAGGAGACCGTACCTTTAGACCCTCTGACCTTGCAGTCATGCATGCCATTTCTTTGGGTTTTTACCATCTAGAAGCGAACAAGAAACATTGTTGCATTTGTTAATGAAACTCATTTGTTTACGTTTTCTCGCCAAGGACTTGCGCTTGTGGCTTGTCTACTGATAATCCTCCATTTCATTAAGAAAAAAAATTGTACACCGATGAGACGGCACGCAGCAGAACCGTTGTTTAACTTGTCTTAACTAGTATCTGTTTAGTAGCCTATCCAGGTAGACAATGCGCTTATGGTGTTCAGCGGTCATGCAAGCATAACGGCGCTCCAATTATGTAAAGAACTATAGCATTTGTTTTCGCTTTTAAAATATCTCAAACGTGCATCTAGGGTGCCTACTCCGTGAGCCGTTTAGTTGTGTAACCCTCGGCTGCTGACCCGCAGGTCGCGGGTTCGAATCCCGGCTGCGGCGGCTGCATTTCCGATGGAGGACGGAAATGTTGTAGGCCCGTGTGGTCAGATTTGGGTGCACGTTAAAGAACCCTCAAGTGGTCGAAATTTCCGGAGCCCTCCACTACGGCGTCTCTCATAATCATATGGTGGTTTTGGGACGTTAAACCACACATATCAATTAGTTGTGTAACCGCGATTACTCTGATCGCAATGAAATTATGCATTATCTTTGAGATCTGAACTACAGCAGTACACCTAGCTGATCTGGCTTATGTCTGACACGCCATCTGTTGTTCCTTCACCGTCCAACATCCAGCGCTGTTCCGGTCTTACTGTCTGAATTAAACAGTCAACTTCGCGCTAAAATCACAACCACACAGAAGAAGACAACACATAAACAGGTCCTGTCTATGTATTTTCTTCTGTGCGGTTGTGAATTTGGCGCGAAGTTCGACTAACTCGGACATGTACCAACTAGCCCAACAGCGAGTTCTACTAAAGTATATCCCGTCTTTATCTTCAAGATCAGCGCATTCGAACACGGTCACTTCAGGCCACAACGCAGCGCATTTCTTCACAAGCAAGCAGCGAATTCCACCGACCTGCGAGGTCTGAAGGTGAGGCGCGTCCTTGGCCAGGCCTCTCAACAACACCGACAGAACACTGGCGATGATTTTCTCCTGTTTTATGGACTCGGAAGGATTCTCCCTGCATTTGTCGCCGCTTTCGAACAACTCCAACTCAGTGGCGATAGCATCGACGAGATGAGGTTTGAGTCGCGCGTACGCGTCCTCGACGTCGATTTTCTCGTACACGTCCGGCAGACTTTCGATCAGGTGCGTCCGCGTTGCGTACTGGTATGCGGGGAGGCAGTTGTAGTACAGGGTATCCGGCTGCGCCAAATAACAGAACTGCAGACCCTTTTCGGTCATCTTGCCCAGTTTCTGTTGAACAGTGGGCATCGCCTTGATGCTCTCTCTCCATTCCTCTCGCGCGCGCCTCAAGGTGGCTTTGTGGTGGGTATCTAAGATCGGCGGATACTTGGGTTCTTTGGTGTACACGTATTCCGATTCTATGTCCGGGTTAAGGAGCTTGGGATAGTGACTCGTAAAGCGTGAATTGCGGGCGCATTCTAAAATGCGGCGGTTCGTCAGTATTTTGGTCGCCATTTTGTAAAAAGAAAACATGGCAATCGACATGGTTGCCGAGCGAAAACACGCGAGTCGCTAAATTTAATTAAACAAGTGAGTAAAAGTTCAGTGTGGATCCAGAAACAGCAGCACAAATTTAAAACCAATTGCTCACAAAACAATGTTGTAGTTTTTTGTGCTTTCATTTTTGTTCAGTTGTAAGAGTATTATATTTGCATAACTCGAACTGATCGCTCGCAGTAGCAGTGCGGTGCGAAGAGCAGGGCGCCATTTTTGACCTTGTGATGCAGCAGGCAGCAGACGTCCCATGTTAGCTGCTTTTATGTGACGGGTGTTATGTGGTGTTCCCGGACTTTCCATGTCCTTTTGTGTTGCATTTACATTACTGCTGCGTAGGAAGTGCCCTGTACCACTGCGTGCTACATGTACTTGTAAAAGTGCCCGAGCAATAACACATTGTTGCTCGTCGAGTTGCATCAAGTCAAATTTTGGTCAACTGCGTGGTTTACGGTTGCTCCAATCGCACGAGAAACAAGCACAACAAGAGAAAATTCAACGAGTAGTCTTTATGCTGTGCCGAGAGTCAAACTATGACTCTGTGCGAAGCTGATTGAACAGTTTTCAAGGCTCTGTGGTTGTGTCGCGAAAAAACTGGACGAATCGACGTTGCTCTACGGAGCTTGCGGGGCACGCTGCGTCACCGTGTGAGCACGCCTAACCGAGGTCAGCTATGCATGCGTGTGCAGTGCGTCACAGAATTTCTCAGTCGGCCTTAATCAGTAGCCATAGCAGCAGTGGTTTTCCTTGAATGCCTGCGAGCATCAGACCTGCTCAGCGACGGTAAGTAAGTCAGTCAATTAGATACAACGAGCGCGACATCTCGCGCGAGAAACACCAATAATATATCCGCAACCTGGCTACCGATCTAATGAATAGCGGCGAGAAAGTACGATGGCCTGGGCGCAACATCAGGCGCGACTGATTACTCGCGCCTATCGCCTACTATAGCTAGAAAAGCCGCCAAGTCACTTCATATGCGGTACATCATGTCTGCAGCCTGCCTTTGCAACGACGACGATTAACTTCACTCTTCGTTGCTAGACAGCTGGTGACATAATTATGAACGTCCAGGGATGTGTAGCTATTTGACTGTTTTCACGTTTAGAGGTTTGTCCCGTGAAACACATAGCTTTTGATGTCCGCATGGTTTACACTAGGATAAGAGCAAGCATCGTTTGTGATGTAATCGTCGGATAGCGCCAAGGAGCCATCAGCTGATCGCCACCGCATTTTGCGACTTTGATTGTGTAAGTGTTGCGCCTGGGGTAAGACAGGGACTTTGTCTAGTCGCTCACGGCGCTGATCGAGCTTCATATTTCACCAAGGTCGTAGCCAGAATTTTTTTTTTTTCGGCGAGAGAGGGGGTTTACACCTACCCGACTGTGGGCTGGGAGGGAACACAGGCAACAGCTTTCCTCTGTAACGTGACTATCGGTGGTAGTTTGAGCAGATCTATATTAAAGTTATGATGTATATCAATGTTATCGTGGTTTCTCTTACATGCGAAGCATTTGTTAGCGGACGTCGGCGACTTTGAGCGTATCTATATAGCCGCTTACGTTTGGGTGCTCTCGTAGTCACCCCTTTAGCTTGGCGTGAACCAAAATTAGCATGGAAAGGGTAAGATGGTTTGACGAATATGACGCGCTGGTCAAGACATGAATAATGTCACAATCCCGTCGTGTACGTCGTGAAACACTTCCCGCCAGACAGTGGCACACACCCACGGGCGGGTATGTGCCACTGGAATGCGAATACGTGCCACAGGCGATTGAAACTTGGTGTCTACCCAGGAACGACGAGAACACACATGGGCAATTTTAACGCGTGAGCGCAAACCAATACCCGACATCGGTAGCGTCGACCCAAAAAAGGCATAGAATAAATGTCAGTGTTAAGAAAAACCTGACATAGGCAGCGTTGACCCCCCCCCCCCCCCCCCGCCCCCGACGAATGCAAATAATACATTTCAGGGTCCCATTAGGAATCAAACTGAAACATTCTGCGTGGAAATCAAGCATTTTACCATAAAGCCTCGACAGGTCTCGGAACTGCTTTTTAAAAAGACCTTATATATATATATATATATATATATATATATATATATATATATATATATATATATATATATATATATATATATATATATATATATATATATATATATATATATATATATAGTGTTTGTGAAACGTCAATAGTGGTTGGAGTGCTGCCTACACAAATTTTATAATTATTACATATGTACTACTTTGATACAGCCGTCACGTCGGGTGAACGTCAATTGTGGTTAGGTGGCGTGCGCTGAAGTTGATTTATGTAGCAGTGTCCAGGGCGAGCATCTTCGCGAGCATGAGCGCCTCATATCAGCTTTGCTAATACTCATGTTATGGTTTACATCATTGCGCAAGTGTAAAAAACTGGTTATATAAACATCTGCAACTCTTCAACATATGTCTGTGCGAGCAACATTTGTACATATATTAGTACATATACATATACTAGTACGTGCATTCATGTTTGCCGCACTTAAGCCGGCGTGAACAGGAGTAGCCTCGTACCATACAAAATATCGAGTGATCGGATCACTAGTGAAAAAATGGCATATCCCACGTACAGTGTGAATTTATGATATGCGAAGCATCAATGAGAAATGGTGATATGTTACTTTAAATCAGCACAACGTTACCAGGTGCAGGTAAATGATGCAGTACATGACTTCCGTGTCATGATTATCATGTTTGGATGTGTCGTTTACCTTCGTCATCTATTCACGTCACGTGATGCCAAATTTAGTACTTGTGGAGCTAGCGAAACGCCCGCGAGCACGCTATGAGCGTGGTATGTTGTCATGTTCTTACATGACACGCGTGTCAGGATTATCATGTTTGCACCAGTCATATATTTCGTCATTCATTGAGGTCACGTAACACCAAATTTGGTGTATATGTGGAGCTACCAAAACGGCCGCGAGCGCATCATGAAGGGCCCAATATACTCCAAATGTAGCGTTGACGGGCGCGCACGCTGGGCATAGCGACGCTACGTTAGCAAAACGCGAGCACTTTATATAGTCTGACGCCAGGCGCGACCAGCGTCTGTCGGCGTGGCCCGACGGAAACCGGCGCGAAATGCGACATGCTGCATTTCGCGCCGATGCGTTACCCAGACAACACTGCGTCTCCCTCTTTTCGGGGACGGTTTTTTTTTTTTTTTTTTTTTGCAGGTTCAACCGTTCCGTTCACGTGACAAATTCGTTGACGTCACCAAAACGTCACCGCTGCCGCGGCGCTTTTTTTTCTTTTGTTCGTTTGAAGTCGTGACAAGCCGGGGCCAGGTTAAAAAAAAAGCTATGAAAAACTGTGATAACGGTGATAGTATCATGGCTAAACAGATGGCAAAAAGTGTCTAAGAAAGCCTTGAATATGAACATGTCTTCCTTCTGAGAAGTGGAACAAACCTTCCGTGTGAGATCCGTCGTCATCGACGTTTTCACGTGCTGATAGGTGTTTGCGATTTGTTTCACGTCGGTCTTGCGTGCACACAAGCACGTGCAGCTCACTTCGGTGGCAAACCGGTTTGTGCATCTTGTTTTTGTGAACTCTCGTTGCTGTGAGATAGCCGGCCAGTGCCGTATGCCCTGTGTTGAGACTTATTGTCAACTTTTGCCGTTAGCAAGCGAGTGAATCCGCTGCTTCCAATTTGTACGGAGAAGCGCGTACGATTACATGCTGCCCATGTAAGCAAAATAGGTTGGCGTGTTTTGTGGTGAAATAATGCAAGAGCGTTGTCGTGCCACTCGTTTGCTTGCCTGTCACGACATGTTATTGCGTCGATGCTGCAAAACATTCGCGCGTGTTCGATTAGTTTGGTTCGTAAAGAAAGCTCGAATGCATTGTGCGCTGTCTGGTTGAACTCTCATCTTTATCATCAAATGGTCCTGTGCATGCCTTGATCACCATGTGGATGCTTGTTTTCGTTGTTATCTCTTTGGTCCTTTTCGCATTTCACAGTACGGGCGCGCGAATTGTTTGAATCGCGAAGACAGAACGAGACAGTTCCTTAATTGCGTATACCCAGTGTATACGTCCACGGTCTACATAACTAGCTGAAAAAAACACCGCAGCAACAACAACGGTGGAAAGAAGGACGATGGAGAGGGTGACACCACAAGAAAGATCGCTAGCTCCGGAGCCGGCCGAGCAGTCACCCCTGAAAAAGGGACCGAATCGGTCCCGAGACGTCGGATCATTTTACAGTCTTTATCTATCACCTATAACTTCGCTGGAGATTTTATGTTATTAGTGTGAAAGTTCACCCAGCCATCTGTCGAATATGTTCACCTACAAGCAGCATGTAGTACGTGCTTGTCCGTACAAATTGGAAGCAGCGGATGCAGTCGTATGCTAACGCTAAACATTGCAAATAAGAAGTCTCAACACAGGGCATTACGGCACTGGCCGGCTATTTCACAGCGATGAGAGTTCACAAAACAAGAAGCAGAAATCACTTTGCCACCGAAGTGACCTCCACATGTTTGTGTGCACGCAAGACCGACGCGAAACGAATCAAAAACATCTCTCAACACGCGTAATCTCGATGACCGCGGATCTGACCCGGAACGTGCTTTTTGCCGGCTTTCGTATGTTCCACGGAGGAAGCAATCTTCACATGCAAGGCTTTTTCAGACACTTCATGCCACCTCTTCAGCCATGATCACAAACGGACAGTGCAAGAATGAAAAAAAAGAAAGCCGCGGCATCCGTGACGTTTTGGTGACGTCACCGGAATGGTCACGTGGGCGAAAGAGTTAGACCTGCAAAAAAAAAACCGTCCCCTCTTTTCGTGATGGAGGGACGCCGGACGCGCTGAAACGCGCATGCGTCAAAGCAACGCAGCGCGGCGCGCGACTGCGAGTATATATGGCAGGACCAGCACCAGGCGTGGCAGCGACGGCGAGCACGTGCA